TAGTGTGTGTGTAAAAGGGATGTAGTGTGTATGTGTTTAGGGAACATAGTGTGTGTGGGTGCAAGTTACATAGTGTGTCTGGACTTTTTGTAGTGTTTGTGAGTTATCTAGTGTGTATGTGTGTAAAGAACATAGTGTGTTTATAGGAGGCGTTGTGTGTGAGTAGATTATGTAGTGTGTGTATAGGGTGTAGCGGAGAGCTGGTATTACAAAGCCTATCTCCACTTTAGATCCCAGGGAGGTTCAGGAACAAGCAATTATAAATCCATAGGGTGAAATATCCAGCAGGCAAAATAACACAGCAGTATCCCAGCAGCAATCCCAATAACTGGACGACACACAGTATCAGGAGCAGAACTAAAGATTTATTCACACAGTGGCCTTTTAAAGCCTGCTCCCATGCAAGGGAGGGATTTCCATTAATTTGTACAGTAGCCAATCCTGCTCTGGTAACCTCCCACACATCTCCTCCCCTCAGCCTGCATCCCTTATCCAGCACACCAATTCCCCCCGTTTCTGGATGTACCCCTAAACTTAGGGGTACCACTTTAAATTATACATCCCCTGGTAGTCCTGATTTGGGTGAACAACATATCCAAAAATCACCCAGATCAGACCAGGGGTTCGGGAAATTCATGGAGGGAATAAAATGACCGACCGCACTGGAGAGAACAGCCGAATGGGGTTCCATGCGATGGGGCCCTGCGGTCGGTCCTGGAGTCAGGGAATAAACTGCACGAAAGCCTCTAGCTACAGAGACTAGGGAGGGTTCGCCTGAATCCCCTCATTCGGTTATTTCTATCTACCGAACGAGGGGCAGTTCGGTAGTTTGGAACCGAACGGACCGGGCTTGTTGAGGTCTCAGCGGTTTGAGTTCCAGACACTCGACGGCAAAACACCGCTGTTCGGGAGTTTTAAAATGGCCGCCGCCACGTGTTCGTTTCCCGAATGGTGGCCACCCCCGAGAACAAAGGACGGCTACTCAGCTTGTCAATTACCCGTTCGCAACAATGTTGCAACGGGTAATTGAAGGCACACTTCACACAGGGGAGGTCTGACTGTTGGGTAGTTTCATTTGAACAAACTAAGGGAATGAAACTACCTAACATTCAGACGAATACAATACATTTAACTCATAGAACTTTGCTATTTTACACGAATGCATTCAAACACATGTAATTCTCAGGACAGCCCAGTGCCATCCGCTACATAGGGGATGTTGTGTGTGAGTAAATAACGTAGTGTGTGAGTTTGTGTGAGTAGATTATGTAGTGTGTGTGTGTGTGTGTGTGAGTAGATTATGTAGTGTATGTGTGAGTAGATTATGTAGTGTGTGTGTGTATGTGAGTAGATTATGTAGTGTTTGTGTGAGAATCAGAATCAAAGCTCTCACTGCTCGCTCCTCCATCTCCTCACTGGCCAATAATAAAGCAGAGTTCACTCTCTAAGGGTCGGCCGGGGCGCAATTTTTCACCCACCAGGGCACTCTAAGGTAGGACAGGGCCTGGTTGTGCAAGCTGTGTCGGTTGCCCAGCACCCCTGTTGGCATGGCGCCCTGTGCAGCCGGCCCTGTCCCCACCAGCCCGAGAGAGCCCTAAGCAAGTAAGCAGGGCCGGTGTTCTATGGGAAATTTGATAGAACACCAGTTCTCTGTGGGCCGACTGGGGAGATCAAAAGATCTCCCCTGTCAGCCTGGGCACATGGGCATCACGCCGGGGCATGCGTGTGAGGCTCCCGGGCAACTGCCCACCATGCCCATGCGGAAAGACGGCCCTGGCTAATGGTTGTCCCTCATTAATATAACATACTTATGTTCTCTGTGCTACATCAGACGTGATAAGTAAGGCAAATACAAGAAATGGCATAAAAGATCATTAGAAAATAATAAACAATATAAAAATGCTAGCATCAGGATAGTCATCAGATGCATGTAATGCCTATACATTGCGGGCACTAATCAAAAGAAGCATGGAGTAGGCTCCAGATAGGTCTGGTGGGTATGCATCTGGTGTGGAGGCCCCTAACCAAGGGGGCTGCGGAGGCAGGGGTTTACTACGCCATTTGATGCAATCTGTAAGCATCTACACAGTTTTAGAGCATTTACACCCGTGTGTAATGCAAGGGGTTGTTAGAGCACATAATGGTAAACAAGATATGTCAGTATAGCTGAAATTAAATAACCTAAAATGAATCAACGCATAGGACGTAAGATAGTGTTGCCTCCACTTAGAGAAAGTCCCTGTGGCATCTGCCTCCTCCAGTCATGGGGCAGCTGGTTGCGAGTACATTGACCTCGGAACAAAAGGGGTGACTGTGGAGGGGTCCTACGTGTCTGCAAGGGAAACTGCTGGTGTGGCTGCAGTCAGGTCAGGCAATCCGAGGCTCCTCTGGAAGGTTGAAGCCTCCGCCATGGAGGACAGGATGTGTGTGGTCCCTGCTTGATTCACCACCAGAGAGCCGCTTCGTCCCCATCTGTTGGCTATACCTAATGGGCGCAGCTGGGCAGTGACTGGGTCAAACTATTTGCGGTAAAGAAGGGTAGCCCTGGTAAGGTCTTGGTATATGGTGAGGTGGGAGCTCTCAAAGTTCAGGGGTGTTTTGCCCTTTAGCGCTCTCATTATGTTAATCTTATCTTGTAGGGTGGTGCATATCAGGATCACGTATTGGGCTTCAAGTGAGTAGGGCCAGGCAGGCGGTAAACTCCATCGACGACCACCTTTTTTCTCTTTCAGAATTTTTTGCTCTCTATTTTTCCCTTGATGATTCTATGATTGATTATATTCACAAAATAAAACAAGTAAGTAATATTACTAGGAAAAAACATGCATTTGCAATTTTAAGGGGTTTTTTAGTTCCAAAACTTGTTCCTTCCACCATGGAAGAAAATGTTGTTGGGGAAATAAAATCTCAATTTGTTCAATATACTGACTCATCTAGCAAAATTAATAATAACCCTTCAGCAACTAGGAATTTACTTGGCACCTTTAAATTCTTAAATAAACTTGTTAGGCTGGTATACTTAAAGTACCTCTAGAGTTATTAGGAAACATCACAGAGCTTCAAAATAACGTTTTTATTTGAAATCAGTTGCACTCTGTGGATGTTTAATCAAATGTAAAATTTTTGGGTACTAGAAGAGAAAGGAAATTGCATTTAGGTATTAATGTGCAAACAATAACAGGAGATATTTCAAATCTGAAATATATATTAACACTTTAGCAAAATTATATATCCATGGAAAACATTTGTTTGTGTTTTTTGTTGTTGTTTTTTTTCCCTTGCTCCTTGATTAGCCTTTGTGCACTGGGCTGTTATCCATATACGTAAGCTGTTATTCTCCAATTAGAAAATTCCTTATGTTCCCATGGTTACCTGAAAGCTCATGTATTGGTGACCTGGTAGACACAGCATCAGTGGGGTTTGAAGCATTGGGAAAAGGTAATCTAAAAAAAAAAATTACAATTAAAAATTCTGGTAAGCAGGTCCTAGATTCTGATGTACTGAAATTCATATCAAAGCAATATATATCCAGAAAGACGTGTTTGCTGCTAATGTCAGTTTATGGCACACTAATATCCATGCTTTGTCTGTTTTAAATAGGTTTCAATGTGAAACAGTTTTTATTTTTGTGGGGGGGTTTTTAAAGAAAATTTACCATCCCTTAAAAATATATGGAATATTTTTAAAGTACAAATGGGTCTAGTTATGTAATGCTAAATTCTACTATTTTCTTTAATTAAAACAATTAAGAAAAAATATTACAAAATATATGACATACAAAACAAATGGACGTGCCTGATGTGTTACATTGCCAGAATTTGGCTCTGCTCACTTACTGCTTGACTCAGTGAGATGTATGGGCCAGCCTCCACTGTGCACATTAAAGATTTAACAAGTGACACTGTCTGTAGCACAGTCTAGTTTAGTCTAGGGCTAGGCACAGTCATGGCACTCAATGCAAATGAGAAGAAATGGGGTAAATGTATCATACTGTTCTTAAAAGTGTGTCAATCATCATGGAAACCAGTAGAACCAGCAAGCATATTCTATTGGCCACTTAGCCACTTTTGCATTTTTGTGCCACTTTTTAAAACAGAACATTAGATAAATCCCCCAATCATTCTGTTTCTCCTCTTTATTTACTATGTTTAATATCAGTGAATGATTCTATTTATAATGCTGACTGACAGGGAGCCAATTTGGAGGTGCTCATTTCCAGGATGAATGATAGTATAGTGTGACATAGTGTTAGACATCGTAATCATGACTAAAGTCATGGTGTAGGAAATTGGTTTTGGCTTTTTAAAGCACTGGGACGATTTTGTGCTTAGACACAATCTTTATAGCAGTTGTGACAGTAGTCACCATTACTGGGAACATAACACTTCACTTCAATTAGGTTTCTGGATGATTCCTATGTTTTAGTCACCCTGTGCCAATTGTGGGTGAAGTGTTTGTTTGTAAAGTGGTTGTTTGGGGTTAAATGTTAGTGTGCTCTCCTGTCTTGCTAATAGACATATGCAATTAGTTTCGTTCCGAATGCAAATTCGGAAGAATTTTGGAAATTCCGACATTCGGATGCTTCTGAATGTCCGAAGTGCCGAATTTCCGAAGTGCTAATTTTCTGGATGCCGAACCGAATTGCTAATAGAGATGTCGCGAACCGTCCGTGAACTTCTCGCGAACGGTTCGCCGCGGTTTGTCACGAACTGTTCACGGCGAACTCCGGTCAGCTGACACGTCCCGGCCAATCTCCAGCAGACCATCCCTCCCAGACCCTCCTACTTCCTGGACAGCATCCATGTTTCAACACGGGACGTGTCAGCTGACCGGAGTTCGCCGCGAACAGCTCGTGGCGAACCGTGGCGAACCGTGGCGAACCTTTCGCGAGAAGTTCGCGGACGGTTCGCGACATCTCTAATTGCTAAAGTGTCAAATTTTGGAAGTGCCGAAGTGCTTTGGATTTCTGAAGAGTGGCAAAACAGGAGAGTGTTTGGGGTAGGGTTAGGTGTAGGGTTAAGGGTTGGGGTAGGGTTAGTGTCTGGGTTAGGGGTAAGGATAGTGGTTGGAGTAGGGTTAGGATTAAGGGTAGGGATAGGGCAGGGTTTGGGTTACCCAACCCTACCCCTAACCCTAATCTAACCCTACCTCTAACCTTATCCCTATCCCTACCTACTCCTAACCCTACCCTTAACCCTAACCCTACCTACCCTTAACCCTACCCTACCCTACCCTTAACCCTACCCTACCCTACCCTTAACCCTACCCCCTACCTTACCCGAAGAACTGAACCTAAGTGCTGAAGTCCAAAATTTCAGAATGCTGAACCAAACCGAATATTTTTCCCATGCACATCCCTACTTGCTAATGCTTGCAATCAACTAGGTGGATTGGCTGTGGAGCCTGTACAGGGCCACCCATTGCAAGGATCTAGCAACCACTGTATGCACTCAGGGCCGGTTCACGGACTTCTTTCTACACAGGTGAAGACACATTTTGCTGTCCCCAATATTTGTCTTCATCTGTCTGTCTAATATTCCCCTTTTTGCCCTTCTTACCCATTCTTTTGCCTCTTTTGTGCATCTTGCCACCTTTTTCTTTCTCATTTTCCCTTTTTGTATATTGTATCCCCTATTTGGCATTTTTAAAAAGGTTTTTATGTCTTTATCCTACTTTTCTTTACCCCCTTGTGTCACACAGTCACTTGCTCTTACACACACACACACACACTGATAACACACACACATACTGGCTGTTACACACACACACTGGCTCTAACACACACACTGCTTATACACACTCACTGGCTTTAACACACATAGTCTCTTATACACATGCACTACTTATGCACACACTGGCTCTTACACACACACAAAGACACTTACACACACACACACACACAAAGTCTCTTACACATGCACTGCTTATACACACTCACTGGCTCTAACAGACACACATACAGTCTCTTACACACACACTGCTTTACACACTCACTGGCTCTATAACACACATGAACACAGTCTCTTACACACACACTGCTTATAGACACACACACCTGCTCTAACAAACACACACACACACACACACACACTGCTTATACACACACTTACTGGCTGTAACACATACACAAAGTCTCTCACACACACTTCTTTACACACTCACTGGCTGTAACACACACACACAGAGTCTCTCTCACACACACTGCTTTACACATCCACTGGCTCTATAACACACATCAACAGTCTCTTACACACACACACACACTGCCTCCAACAAACACACACACACACACTGCTTTACACACTAACTGGCTCTAACACACACAGTCTCTTACACACACACACTGCTTATAGACACACACACACACTGCCTCTAACACACACACACACGCGCACACACACAGACTTACTGTTTCTAATAATTGCTAAACAGACGTCCCACTGCACTGTAGTAGCTTTCCTCCTCTGTACACAGCAGTTGGCTGCTGGGATATGATATGAAGAGATTGGCCAGGGTCGCTCCTCGCTGCTCTGCCTTCCTCCCTCAGGGGCTGCACATTTTTTCACCCCATCTCACAGCCATCTGGGTAAATTGCTGCAGAAAGTGACCGGCGGGAGCATAGTGGCTAGAAGGTTGGGGAGATTATAAACTAGTGGAGGGGGGAAAGATCAGAATAGAGGAGGTATGTAATAGTAATAAAAATTCACGGAGGTAACCCCATCTGGGTAACACATTAATTATTAAGGATTATAGTTACCCGGATATAAATTGGGATAGAGGGACTAGTAGTGTATGGATCTTGTTACAGCTAACAATGTTGATCTTCTAACCAACATTCAAGTAGGGGAGCGTTTGGAAAATAGTGATCACAGTATGATGTCTTTTGAAATAAACTCAAACATGCAAAAGCATATAGGGTATACTAATTTTAAAAAGGCCATTTTGAATAAGATGAGGGCAGCTTTACAACATATTGACTGGTGTAAACTCTTTAGTAAAAAAAGTAAAAAAAAAAAACCCCACTGAAGATAAATATTTTCAAACAAATATTAGAAAGGTACATTTCTCAGTGTGTACCATTGGGTAATAAATACAAATATAAAAATTTAAAAATAAATATAAAAAAATATAAAACAAGTTGAATCCAATGGGGTTTAGTGGGAATGTAAACCAAGAGATGAAAAATAAGAAAAGGGCATTTCAATTGGACAAATCAGAGGTATCCTATATAAGATATAATGCACACAGAAAAGGAATTAGAATGGCTAAACTAGAAAATGTGAAAGTGATAGTCAAAGACAGCAAAACCAAACCCGAAACATTTTTTAAGTACATAAATTCTAAAAAAAAAAAAAAAATTGAAAAAGAAATTTAAATTTAATGGACCACTATAGGCAATCAGACCACTTAAGCTTAATGAAGTGGTCTGGGTGCCAGGTGCATCTAAGTTTAACCCTTTCTACTGTAAACATAGCAGTTTCAGAGAAACTTTAGGGTTAATCCAGCCTCTAGTGGCTGTCTCATTGACAGCCGCTAGAGGCGCTTCTGCGCTTCTCACTGTGATTTTCACAGTGAGAAGACGCCAGCGTCCATAGGAAAACATTGAGAATGCTTTCCTATGGACTGGCTGAAAACTGGCTGAATGCGCGCGCGACTCTTGCCGCGCATGCGCATTCAGCCGATGACAGAGAAAAGGAGGAGGAGAGTTCCCTGCACCGAGGGAGCCCGGCAGGGGGAAAAAGGTAAGATTTAACCCCTTCCACCCCTTAGAGCCCGGCGGGAGGGGGGCCCAGAGGGTGGGGGGGACCTAGAGTCCCTATAGTGCCAGGAAAACGAGTATGTTTTCCTGGCACTATAGTGGTCCTTTACGTGTAGGTACAATGAAAACAGAGAGAGTCATCTTCGTTAATGAAGACCAGGTAAAGGCAGACATTTTATATAACTATTTTTCCTTAGTATATATTAAGGAGGATCCTATGAAATGAGATATGCAAATGATTGCTGTAAAAAAATTTCCAGAAAAATTGTGATTGGATGACTCAGCACAAGGTGCTGCAGAAACTAAAATTAAAGCTCCGGAGCCTGACGGTATTCACTCATGAGTACTTGGAGCTAAGTGTGGAAATAAGTGAACCTGTCAGGGTATTTCTGTGGTTTTTGTGGTAAGATAGAAATTAAAAATGTATACTGTAAGTCACCACTTAGCAGACGTGACTCCATTTGGTAACAAAAATGCAAAGTCAGACACATTTTATTTCTCTGTACTCTATCCATTCAAACCCTGAGCACAGGAATGCAGCTAATATAAACATTGACCAGAGATAGGCTCTTCTTACAAGAATTGATGTCTGCAAGGGGGGTCCCAAACAGCCCAAGCACATATAGATAGATAGATAGATAGATAGATAGTTCCGTTGTATTAGGGAAGGTAAAAGAAAGGGCAGATGTGTCAAAATATACTTTGACCCAAAAACCAGACGGTCAGTCTAAGAAATTCAATGAAAAATTACAGATTTGTGATGGACGGGACCATAAAGATAAGAAGACTATGATGTCAAATGCATCACGAAATTCAATAAACCTCTTATACAAAGTGGTAGACTTCCTGACGAGAATTTATTGTGGTGTTACAATGCCATCTATTGACCAAAGTCTAGATGACAACCTGTAGAAAAGATACGCCCACCTGACCCTACTGGTCACTTTAAATTAGTGACGTAAAGAAGGTTTAGGGAAGCTTGTCCTTTAAAAATTGAGAAGCAAGCCGAAGACAGGTTCTTGAGGTCTTTGGTCTTTGATCACTAACCAAAAGTTGGACACATCTAACTTTCTGTATCTCTGTATCCAACTAATTCTGGAACTCTAAAAAAGCTAACACTCCAACTGAAACTCTGGAATTCTTTAATAATCAGAACTTTGATAACGTTCCTATTTTCACAATTCTTTACTCAAACTTGCATACACCATTCATGGAATATACCTACAAGCCTAAAGAATGTCTACCAAGAAAGCTAGTAAATGTGCTGGTTTTATTTAATTTAATTTAAATTAATTAATTTTTACTAAAGGCAGAAATGTACCTGGATAAAAGCTGGTCAGATTTCAAATATTATGAAATCATAATTAGCTAAGGAAATATATGTTTATACATTCAATTACTGGAGGTGGAATAAACTAACAATATATTTACTGGTAATTTGCCAAGTTTAGCATACCAAGTTATTATCCAGAGATATTGACTTATCTGAATTTAGGGATAATTAATCTTTAATCAGGAAAGTTAATAATCTGCAATGTAACATCTGCTAGAATTATTCTTATTGGTTACTGGATGGGAAAGGAATATTAAATTGATCTGGTATGAGAAATATTGTATTTGTTAGTTGCAATATTAAAGGTATTTTTCCTGTGAGAATTGTAGCCAGCAGTGAGTGAGTTAACTCAGTGTGATTCAAACTGAGAGCAAAAAGTTTTTTTTATTGCTGTAAGCTGCGTGCTGCTGTGAGATGGTGAGATGCTGAGATGCTGAGTTCTCTGTTAAGAAATGTCTAGCTAATTTCAAAGAAAGTGTCCTGTAGTAAATCTTGTTGAAATTTGCATCTATGTGGATATGTTGCTATGAGCTATCTGAAATTGTGTCAAAACTGTTGCCATATATATACTTATGTTATACATAAATATTCACTGATTATTCTCACATATGTTACATATTATTATTATTATTATTATTAATTATTTGTCACAATAAATTATAATTTGATAATTAGTTTGTTTTAATGTGTGAAATACAAATTCTCTAATAAACGTACTCCAGGGTCTATTAGAGTTAAAATAGTGAATAACTCTTTGCTTTAACTCAATCAAGGGGAACAGTGCCAATATATAAATTTTTGATAACATAAAAATCATTAAATACATTTTTGATAATTTTTATGAAAATATTATTTTCGGTAAAATAATATTACAATATGGTACAAACAGGCTTGCAATTTCACAACAGCCTTACGGTGGAGACCGGGATCCATAGGGGGAGGCAATGGGGGCTTCAGCTCCATGATATAGCTCACCTGTCTGTGTCGGTGCCGGAAGATCTTCAACCTCTCCTCATCACAACGCCCGCTAGGCCTCGCTTGTAGTCAGTATAGATTATCACCTGGACAACTGCGAACTGTCCCCAGAGGTAGGCCCAAGCCAGTCAGTCAACGCAGGGTGTCAAGATAGCTTAATTTGCGCAAGATGAACAGACAAAACTACTGGCGACTGGACTAATTCGCTT